TGCTTCACCTTCCACTCCCACCCCACTTTGGCCAGGTCGCCAGGGGTGAGCTGAGTCTAGGAAGGGCCTGTCATTATCACTCACCTGCCTCCCCACTCCCTGCTAGGAAACCCCAGAAATCAGGGTGTCTTGGGACCCCCTCAGTACGGGGGTCCTGGAGAAGACCTTATATTACACAACCTCTGAATCCCCAGGAGCGCTGCCTACAGCAGGCACGGGCTTGGCGGAAAAGAATTGACCGTGGACAAGTGGCTTGACCTTTCTGGGCCTCAGTTTTCTCGATCTTTAAACTGAGACTAAAAATGCATACTTCGCGGGGTTGCGGAGAGAATTCAAGTGTCTGCAAAGTGCCGGGCTCCTTGAGGCATCTACAAACACTAGATACTGCTGTTGTTGTTCTTCCTACTACTGACTGGTCCGGAGTCACCCTTGATCATAAAATGCACCATCATTGTATGTATCACCAAGAAAGACAAAAAAGTACTGCGAATTAAATTATGACTCACCAGTGCCTGGGGGATGCAGCCAGATTTCAGAGATGTTACAGATTTAAGTATTCCTGGAATCTGGTTGGGGATGTTCCTTTAACCTGCGTTCTGGTTCCACGTGTATGTTTGCTTGTGAAAACTCGTGACGCTGATCACCCATGGTCAGTGCCTTCTTTCTGTATGTGTGGTACACTCGAGTACGAGGTTTACATTAAAAACAGGTCAAACCTGTACAGCTCGGAATGGATAAGACCTTATATTGGCCCCAGCACTGGGCAAGGCAATATAGACTTGGCACTAAATTAATGCTGAATGAACAGACAAGTGGCTGGGAGTGGGACACAAGAAGAACAGGGTGGCCTCTTACTTTTGAGGTCTCCTGGACAGATGCTAGTCCAGAAAGATTCATTTCCACACAAGCGGGAGATGTCCTCCCCAAGGTCACTCATCTGAGGTTTTACAGATGAAGAAACTGCCTGAGGTCACACAATTTAGTAAACGGTGGAGCTGGGATTTGAACTGGGGTAGCTAGGCTCCAAGACCCAAGCCTTTACCCACTGCATTATATATACTGTTATATATACTGTTTGGGGAGGACCACAGTATGAAAATTAATAAAGGGAAACCTTACTAAAATGGACTCAGGATGCTAGAAGGGGAGGCTGGTAGAGGAAACCTACCGCTCAATGTCAATTAGAGCAAAAAGTATCAATTACAGACCCAACAGAAGTATCTCAGTAGGAAAGAATGGTCAATTACAAGCCCCCCACGAGGGAAAGATATACATCGTAGCTCCTATAAGAAATTGACTACACGTGCCGCTCAGCCACTGAGAAACCATCATGGCTATGAACTCTTGCTTTTCTCCAACAGACTTTTGTTCCAAACAACCCCTCCCAACTTCCTCCTCCATAACATAATGTTCCTCTCCTTTGTTTATTGGACTTGCATATGGTTTTGCCATAGCTTGCTTGTCCTGCATTGCAATTCTCAGCCAGTCCTGAATAAACCAATCTTGCTGGTAAAATAACAAAGGAATGTTTGCCCAACACCCACAGACCCCCATATGACCCCCTCCAGATTCAGTCATGCCTTAAGCCATTCTTATGAGTTGGACTGGACTTCTGGGAATAGGAGGGTTCTGCCTGTCCGGGGAGACTGAGAGCATGTGAGGACCAGCATCTGACTGTGTTCTAGAAGGAAAAAGAGAGGGAAGATGATGCGTGGTGGGGCGCATGCTGCTGGCTGTTCCACTCACGGTAAGCAGGGGCTGCGGGAACTTCAGACTGGCCATTTCTCCCAACTAGCTCACAGCTAGACTGGCAGGCCGACCGAACAACCATTTGCTTAACTGTATAATCATTTGGTTGCCTACAGAACTCACGGACCCACAGGGAGGGGGGCAGTTTGAGGAACGGACGGTGCAATTTCCTGATGCTGTGAGGTACTGAATATCTAACGAAATTATGCCGGCCTAGGACCGGCTGGGGCTGGTGGTCTGAGAGCATGGAAGACAGGCAGCCTCCTGAGGGACTGACAGGCTGGCTGACTGATGGCCCGGGCTGTTGCTGCCCGCCTGGGGGGCGGGATGTTGTGAATGGCTGACGATTGCTGGGAGTCACGTCTGGCCTGAGGGAGTGTGTCTGGATGTGACGCCGCGGTCCGGTGGTGCGTAAAGGAGGGCTACCCTGAGGGGATTTCAGGCTGACTGATGGCCAGATCTGTCACTGCCTGATAAGCAACTGTATCTGGTGAGTGACTCTCCACCCAGACCGTGTGGCCCGTCAGACGCTGAGAATGGCTGCCTGGGGGGTTGACAATACGAAGGGCAGTGAACGAGTCACAGGCCAGCTGACCCATCGAAATATCAGTGTAGCCACCTGGCTGGATGGCCGTACCAGGTTGGAACCACAGCAGCCCTGAGGCCCCGCCTGGGTCAGAGGAGACTGACTGGATGACTGACCAGTGGTGGGCATGCCTCCCCTGAGAAGTGACAGACCGCTGACCCACTGTCAGGTGGCGTGGAGGCTTCCGTGAGGGAGTAACTGCCTGCTGAGGGCGTGAATGAGGAGTCACCCGAGGGAATTAAAGATCGCCCAACTAGCAGTGGCTAGAATGTCTGCGGCTAGAATGTCTGCCCGAGAGGGCGACATTAGATGCGGACAATGACAGCCTGTCCCGACCTAATCACGGCCCGCCTGAGGCCACGGCTGGTGGCTGTGAGACGGTTTCCCCTGGGGCTTTCGGAGCTGCCCCCGGAGCAAGAGTACACGGAGAGACGGGCTGCTTGACTGGCTGTGTGCAAAAGGGGCCGCCGGAGGCAATGACAGGCTGGCTAACAGTGTAGCTGTTAGCGCCGTCTGTCTGCCTTGAGAGACTCGCAGCTGGCCCGAGGCTCGAATGGGTGCCGCTGTTGACTGGCAGACAGTGTGAATTGGCGGGGCGGGGCCGGGGGGGGTCGGGGTCTGACTAAACAGTCGTCTGTGGTGATGGACCCATTGTCTGATTTGAGTCTGGGGACCGGCTGAGCAGCTGTACGTGGCGACAGTCCCATCTTGGGAGTCATGGGCTGCTTGGGGTTAAAATGTGGTGACGACTGACTGACGGTGGTAACTGGGGGTCTGACAGGACGGAGAATCCCCCGTGCGGCTGGCTGACAACGTGATTGGCTGACAGCGTGACAGACAGACTGGCGGACGGGCAGGGCCTCCGGCAACCTTAGTTGCCTCCGCCGCCGCCGCCCAGACGCACTCTGGGAAAGCGCTGGCGAGCATCCGCCTTCGGGACCGAGCGGGGTGGCGGGGAGGGGTCCGGTCACGGCTCGCCGGTTGGTCCGCGCGGGCGCTGCTCGCGGCGCCGCGCGGCCAATAGGCTGCGCGTTCTCGGCCACGCCCGCGCGAGCTCTCTTCTCGCGAGGCCGGTTAGGCCCGAATGTCGTTAGCCGTGGGGAAAGATGGCGGAAAATTTAAAAGGTGAAGCAGTGGCGGCAGCGGCGCGGGCCTGCTGGCCGGGCCGGGTGGGCTGGAGGGGTGGCGTTGAGGGCTCGGGGCCCCGGCGTCCGAGGCCACGGAGCCGGGAGCCGGAAGCCTGGCGCGGAAAGGATGGGGCTCAGGGAGCCCGGGCCTGGCGCGCGGGGCTGGGCGGGGCTGAGGGGAGGGGGCGCGTGCCTCGGAACGCGGCGGGCGCGGGGCTAAGTGGGGGACGCGGGAGGGGGGCGCGCGCCTCTGATCGCGACCAGTCGGCGCGCGCACGCGCGGGGGCTTGTCGGGGAGGCCGCGCCCGCGCGCGGGAAAATCGGCCGCCGGTGACCGTTACCCGGTTGGTGTCCACGCGAGACGCCGGAAGGGGAGGGAAGGGAAGGGGACGGACCTCTTTTCAGAGTGGGGGTACAGAGGACTCTTCAGGGTGAGGGCACCTCCTTTCCGCGTGATGGGGAAAGGGTTTGCTGTAGAGAAGACTCCCCTGGGAAGAGGGGAAAGGGGCTTCTCTAATAGGAGAGCTGGACTCCCTCGTGTGCAGGGGAAGTGGGGTGACTTTTCCAGTATGTTGGGGAGGGTGGGCTCCTCTGGGTGAGAAAAGCTGCGGGGAGGATGGGTTCCACGGTGTGAGGGGGACCTCTGAGGGGTAGGAATCCACCTGTGGTCGGTGCGGAGCCAGCAGCTGGAGAGGTTAGTTGGGACCACTTTAGTGGGTTTCGAATGCAAGTTAAGGGGTTTGAAAGGGAGGGGCATCATAGGGAGAGGAAAGCGTGGGCACAGGCTGAGTCTCCACTAGGCCTGCCTAAGTGGGGGGGGGGTGTACATGAAATAATTCTGCAAAGCTCTTGTACGTTTTCAGGTTGACGTCTAGAGTATTTCATTATGAGTTCCGATGTTTGATTTTTGTAATGGGAGGTAGGAAATATTAAAGATAGGATGAGGACTGACTGCATTTGGAATGAGTGTTCTATGGAATGATTTGATAAAATGGCTTCTAAAGCACATTGTGCCTTGAATCAGAATTCTTTTTAAAAAAATCCGCATCTTAAAAATTTCTGATAGCCCCAGAAACATTCCAGGTATATTGAAAAGAATCGTCATTAACCTATGCTGTTTTGCTGATTCCTGAATTCAGAGCATACTCCTTTGGGTGGGCTTTACCCTTCACAGAAATGTAGATGAGACAGCCAAAATGCAGTGTGAAAAAATATACCTTGCAGGTTTAAGGGACCCAGGCTAATCATTCAAGGAAGCTTCCTGAAATCTAATACCATTCCACAATCTCTTCTTCCTAATTCTGAAAACTTAAGTTTGGCACCATTCAGTGGCAAAACTAGATGATAAGGTGGGACTGTCTTGCCTCTTTATTTCTCCTATTTAATGTAAAAATTCAGATTTTTTGCTGCAGAATTATTAATGTGTTTGATTATGGCTTGATGCCCCTGACCACACTGGGGGTGTTAGGTAGTGTCTGGGGCATACCTAGAACTACACTTGTAAAAATTAAAAAAAAAAAAAAAAATCTGAATTCCTAAACACAACTAGCCCCAGGAGTTTCAGATAAGGGATTCCGGACCAGTCTTTCCAGTTAAGCCTTTGTTTGGTGCCTACAGGTTGTAATCCCATCCCCACCAGTTCCCCTGGGGCAATGCACCCTACTGAGATGGGGGGGGTTTGTTCTCTTTATTTTGCAAAGTGGGGAGAGGGATGATTAGGTCCTGAACCCTAGGCCCGTTTGCGGGCAGTTTTAGGAATAGTATGGAGGGAGTTGGAAGCTCTGGGAATAGATTCCTTTAGGATAATCCATCCAGCAGATCCCACTTTGAGGCCTACTGCTCCAGGGGTAGCCTTGGAATGAGCACTGGGGTTGAAGAAGTGGCACATTTTTGTTGTAGAAGGGTGTCAGCATTGGGAAGGCCTGTGGATTAAATCTCACTGACTCTGAGGCAGTCCTTTGGAAGTCCCAGAGAGGATTTGGGGTCCCCTTTGACCCATGGCTTCGCCAGGATGCCCATTAAGTTCTTTCTGCTCTCCGTGTTCTAGGCTGCAGTGTGTGTTGCAAGTCTTCTTGGAATCAGCTACAGGACCTGTGCCGCCTGGCCAAGCTCTCCTGCCCTGCCCTCGGCATCTCCAAGAGGAATCTCTATGACTTTGAAGTCGAGTACCTGTGTGATTACAAGAAGATCCGCGTGAGTCTGGGGTGACCTTGGCCAGGGCAGGGGTGTCTCAAGGAAGATGGCTTGCTGCCCCTTTGCCCCCACCCCCACTGCCTGCATCTGTTTCCAAAGGGAATTTTCTCCTCTAATCTTAAAAAATTAGGTTTAGTAGGACTTCTTATCATCCTCATTTTGCAGGTGAGGAAACGAGGTGGCTTTCTCAGGGGGGTAGGAGCCAGAATGAATCCCCAACTAAGTCTCTCTTCCCACCTCCATAGGAATACAAACCAGTTGCAAAGATTGAGGTGCTGAGCCCAGGAAGGGAGCGGATGATAGCTAGCAATTATTGAGCACTTTCAGTGTGCTGGGCACTTCCTCTCAGAAACTCATTTAATCCCCCCAGCAACACTGTGAAATGGGAACTGTTACCATTGCCAGAGGAGGCAACAGCAGGATAAAGAGAACATACTAGAACCAGTATGGTTGGGTTCAAATTTTGGCCCTGTAGCCCTGGGATACTTACCCACATTCTCTGTGGTTCATTTTCTTCATCCGTAAAATGGAGATGACTAGTAGTATCTAGCTCATACAGAGTTGTGAGGGTTAAATTAGTTAATAAAACGTTGAAGTTACTTAGAATAGTACCTGCTGTGTACAGAATGCTAGAAAAATGTCAGCTTTTTTTTTTTCTTATTTATAGATGAGGAAACTGAGGGTCAGCAAAGTTAAATAACTTGCGAAGGCCACCTGGCCAAGGAGCTGCAGATTCAGAATTTGTACACAGTGTGTCTACCTGTAGAATCTGTGTGGTTAAATAGTATTCTCTAGCTGCTCTCTGCAAGAAAATATCCCTCTGCCGCCTGAGTGGAGAACAGACTAGGGGCAAGGGTGGGACTGGGGAGACTGGTGAGGAGGCCTATTACCTTCTAATTCAGGCGAGCGATGATGGGGGTGGCAATGACGTTGGTTTGAAGTTGTTGGATTCTGGATGTAGTTTGAAGGTGAGGCTGACAGGAGTTGCTGAGGGTGGATGTGGGGACTAAGAAAGTTGTGACTCCCAAGGGTTGGGGCCTGAACAGCTAGAAGGAGGGGGCTGATGAGAGGGAAGATAGAGGAGGGAGTAGATTAGATTAAAACTTGGAATTTGGACAGTGGTAGCGGGGAGTGTGGGATTTGAACCTAGGGATCCTCAGGCTAGAGCCCGCGCTTTGTAACCACTGCATAGAGTCATTCCAGAAAAGGTGCCGGGAGTGGTTTGGGTCTCATCCACCAGCTTTGGGATGGAAGTCCCACAAGGGCTGGGCCAAGGGTATGGCCGCTTACGGTGCCCCCATCCCCTGGTCCCCCCAACAGGAACAAGAGTATTACCTGGTAAAATGGCGTGGATACCCAGACTCCGAGAGCACCTGGGAGCCACGGCAGAATCTCAAGTGCGTGCGCATTCTCAAGCAGTTCCACAAGGACTTAGAAAGGGAGCTGCTCCGGCGGCACCACCGGTCAAAGCCCCCCCGGCACCTGGACCCAAGCTTGGCCAACTACCTGGTACAGAAGGCCAAGCAGAGGCGGGCGCTCCGGCGCTGGGAGCAGGAGCTCAATGCCAAGCGCAGCCACCTGGGACGCATCACCGTGGAGAACGAGGTGGACCTGGACGGCCCCCCGCGGGCTTTCGTATACATCAACGAGTACCGTGTGGGTGAGGGCATCACCCTCAACCAGGTGGCGGTGGGCTGCGAGTGCCAGGACTGTCTGTGGGCCCCCGCTGGAGGCTGCTGCCCCGGGGCGTCCCTGCACAAGTTTGCCTACAACGACCAGGGTCAGGTGCGGCTGCGCGCCGGCCTGCCCATCTACGAGTGCAACTCCCGCTGCCGCTGCGGCTATGACTGCCCCAACCGCGTGGTGCAGAAGGGCATCCGCTATGACCTCTGCATCTTCCGCACGGACGACGGGCGCGGCTGGGGCGTCCGCACGCTGGAGAAGATCCGCAAGAACAGCTTCGTCATGGAGTACGTGGGAGAGGTAGGGAGCCGGGCCCCGACGTGCGCGCGCGCGCGCGCGGGCAGCTCTTCCGGCCACATGCTCCCACCGCGTGCGCCCAGCTCGCCTCACTGTGTGCCTGCAGCTTCCCTGCTTTTCCTGTCCGGGGAAAGGTGGGGGGCGGTTGGCCTGAGTGTGACAGGGACTTCCTGGCAGGGGCGTGCGTTTCCAGCTGGTAGTTGAAAGCACAGCGAAATACTTCTGGACTGGGTTGCCTTCTTAAGGGTACCTGGCAAAGAGGGAGGCGGGAACCGAAATGCAGGCAGAGTTCCTTTTATCAGGCCATGTACTTCAGCATAGGGTTGCGTCACCTGGAAAGGCTCCACTTCTCATTTCGCAAGGGTTCAGCTTACCACCAAGCAGTGTCTGACCAGGAGGAGCGCCTTTTACTACTCGGAACACGCACACTCTGGAGTAGGACGTAGACATGCCTTACGTTGGCTGCCTCTTCCTCCAGACTTGCAGGACACTGGGGACAGGCCAGGTATACAGTTGACCCTGGAACAACATGGTGGGGGGGCGGTAGTTAGGGGCACCGACCCTGCGTAGTCAAATCGGCCTGTAACTTCTGACTCCCCAGAAACTTAGCAACTACTAGTAGCCTACTGTTGACCTTACCGATGACATAAACAGTGGATTGATACATACTTTATATGTTGTATGTATTAGATAATGTATTCTTACGGTGAAGTCAGCTAGAGAAAAGAAAATGTTAAGACAGTCATGAGGAAGAGAAAATAACACTTACAGTACTATACTGTATTTATCGAAAAAAATCTGCCTGTAAGTGGGCCCATCTAGTTCAAACTTGTGTTGTTCAAGGGTCAGCTGGACTAGGCAGGCTAGCTGCCATACCATATAACCCCCAAATCTTAGTGGCTTCACACATTCGAAGTCTCTTCGCTCCTGTGTCAGGCCAGCATGGGTATTTGGGTAGTGTCCTTGCATACAGTGGCGTGGCCACCTAGGCTCCTTCCCTCTTGAGCCTTTGCTGTGCCTCAGAGCCGCCCCCTGATCCTCACTCTGCATCGCTGGCAAGTGGGCCGAGAATCGGGGTGGAAGGGGAGGGTGCTCATGGGCCAGGCTAGGACACAGTGCCCATCACTTCTGCCCACACTGACTGGCTGGAGCCAAGTCACTGGCCTCACCGTGGTGCGAGGGAGGCTGGGAAGTGTGACTCAGCCATGCGCCTAGGTGGAAAACAAAAGGAGTATGTGTGAATAACCCGCAAGTGTCTGTAACAGCAAGTGTCATGTTCTAAGGTAGGACGTGGTGTGCATTTGGGGTGGAGCAGTTCTTTTTATGTAGGACTGTCTCACGCATTGGGGAACAATTAACATCCCTGGACCTTGACCAGTTAGATCCGTGAGTGTGTTGTCATGGTGATAACCCCAGATACCTTTGTATTTCTTAGCAGTCTCTTAGGGGTGTGATATGGTTGGGAAGTGACAGAAATTGGCCTAAGGGACACACACCTGAAGGTGTCCACACTGTAGTAATGACACTGATGGAGAGGAGAGGCTCCCAATAATGAACCATAAAGCAGAGAGGGTCATAGCCTCAGGGGGCAGAGATGATGTAGAGGCGGAGCAGTCCACACCCTGACAGTCTAGACGAGAAGTCCACACTCAGATAATCTCGATGGTCTGGTGGAAGAAGTGTTCACACGTCGAAGGACCTGCCAGTCTGGAGGAGGGAGTAGGTGGCCATACCCCAGAGGGTTCCTGACAGTCTGGGGCAGGGGGCCTGACAATTTGTGGGAGGAGGTGTCTCCGTCCCAGAGTGACCTGGAGGAGAAGAGCGAGCTCTCCACACTCCACAGGACCCTGGCAGTCCAACTTAGGAAGTGTCTACACCCACACTGTCCTGACAGTCAGGAAAAAGCAGCATCCTCACCCCCGAGGGATCGGGACAGTCTGAAGGAGATCACGTCTACACTTAAGAGAACTCCCAACAGCCTGGAGAAAGTGTCCATACCCCCAGTGTCCTGACACTCTGGGGGGATGTATCCAGACCTCCAAGGGATGCTAACAGTGGAGGAGATGTTAACAGCCTAGAGGGGTGTCACCAGTCTGAAGGAGGACATGTGCACACTCCAGAGCCCCTGACAGTCTGGAGGTGTCCAGCCCCCACAGGAGCCCGCCAGTTCTAGAGGAAGTCTGGGAGAAGGGAGTGTCTCCAGCCTCACTGTACTGACAGTCTTGAGGAAAAGCTCTTTACAACACAGAGGATCCTGACAGGTGAAGAGGAGGGAGAGTCTGCAGCCCCCGAGTACTCCAGAGTCCCCTGGTCAGGGTGCTGTTCTGGCTGTTCTTCCTTAGTGTCTGTCCTGTTCCATGCTGTAAAAACATTGGGGCCTTCAGGGCTTCTCACCCCTGTCCCCCCTCTTCCCGCTCCACAAACACTCTCCTTAAGCTATTTCTTGGCCTCCTTCCTGCCATGTTCTGTGACTTCCAGGCCCAGTTCTGACACTCTCAGACCCGTGGGGCCTCCTGATGGCACCATAGGTCCCCAAACGCTGCCAAAGCCAAACTCCTCTTCGTGCATCCCCTGTGAGGAGGCAGCAGAGCCAAATGGTCAGGAGGTTGGAGCCGAGCTCCCACCACTGAGCGGCAGGCACTACCCTTTTTGTGTTTCAGTTTCCCAATCTGTAGAATGGGAATGGTAATAGCACCCACATCATTCACTTGTTACAAGAATTAAATGAGTTATGATGTGTGAAGCACTTGGAAGAAGCACTTGAACAGCAAGTCTTCAAAAGATGTCAGCCGTTACAGTCTACAAGTCAGAAAACCCAAAGTCTTTGGTAGCCCATATGGCCAGAAAACCCAGCCAGACCTGATCTGGGCCTGATTTGTAGCCTAGTTATCCCACTTGGGGTGCATATTCATAGATTTCATTATAGGAGTATTCATTCACTCGGTTACGTGGTGCTGTCCCAAACCCTACCTGGTGTCCCATAATCGAGGGCAGGCACCCCATATCTGGTCGCCAAGCTATCCTACAATCTGGACACGACATGTGCCCTCCCACCTCTGCACCAGTGGTCCCTCCACGCGAGCTGCCCGTCCTCTCCTTTGGACCCTTCCATGTTCCATCAGAACATCCACCCTCGCCCAGCAGAGAACAACAGCCTAGCTTATCCAATCTAAGACCTGCATTTGCTTCATATTTTACCAACCCCGAAACGAAGGTGCGTATCAGTTTAATTAAATGACGGTACGTCATCATTTAATTAGCAGTGTTTCCTTTCTCGGGAAAGGGCACATAAAAATAAGGGAGCGTGTTCGACTGGGATAGGACTGGTTGGTACTCATAACCATTCCTAACAGTGCTCAGTGTCAAGAACAGAAACATCGTTCCCGTCCCTGATTGCGCTGGAGCTTGACAGCAGCCCCCGTCAGGTTGGTGTTACCGTCGTGGTCATCCCCATTCTACAGACGAGAGCCGAGGCTCAGAGAGAGAGAGTAACGTGCCTCAGAGTCACCAAGCTAACAAAGTGGGTAAAAAAAAGGCCCAAGTGTCTAAAACTGGTGTGCTTCCAGACCTGGTGGAGGGTTTTGTTTTGTTTTGTTTTTGTTTTTTTGGCCGAGGCAGTAGGCAGAAGGAGAGAACATTCAGGATCCCCTATCCAGATGGGGGCAGGGCAGCGGCTGGACTCCGGAGTCTTCTGGGTCCTGTTCACTGTCAACACCCTTTCCAGGCTGCCAGCTTCTAGCCTATCTGTCTTCCCCAGTCATTCTGGAGAGCTGCTAGGGAGCAGGGACGTGGCCTGCTCTGTTCCCGAGTTTTCAGGGTAGACCTGCCCTTACTGAGTGGGCCTGGGAAGAAGACTGGAGAAGGAGCCGTTTGTGGCCTGGAGGGCTCCCCGTGTGACTCACTCTCGGTGAGACTCGGGAAGCAGGTAGAGGCAGAACAGGCGGGAAGATGGAGACCGGGAGGATGTGGAAAGGAGAAAGCTGGCTCAGACACCACCCAGCAGGCTCGCGAGCCAGCGGAGGCTGCCCTTCAGTCCCAGGCCTTCGGAGAGCTTCGGGGAGGCGGCAGCTTCCGCACGGCCACCGGGGGTCGGGAGGCCCAGGAAGGCAGCAGAGAAGTAACAGCCGTTGTGCCGACTCCACAAGGAGCGTGTGTTCTCGGGAGGTGGATGGAGACTGACCTTGATGTACTCCTCCTCGGAACACTTCTGTGGCTCCTGTTGTGTCCCTCGGGAGACACTGGTGTCAAAGCTCTTTTGTGACCTGTAGCTTGCTTTAGATGCCGTATTGCTTTTCTCCTGCCCTGGGACCCCGAAGCACTGGGTTTCCTAATCAGCATCTTGCACTGCGGGCATCTGAGTCCGTCTCTCTTTCACCAGACTGTGACCCCGGAGGGCCAGGGCCAAGCCTGGTTCCTGTTGTCTCCCCTGAGCCACCCAACTGGGACTGCAGTGGGCACCCCCCTGCAGACACGGGCCCCTGAGTGCTGGGACCAGGCACAGGGTAGGCCTCCTAAAAACCCACGAAATCAACAAGTGAACGAACAAGCACACATTTGGAGCGTGGGCGAGCCAGGTTCCTCGGAATGGAGCTGGAGTGCAATGGAGCTGGAGTGCGGGGCAGTGAGCCGTGTGGCCTGAGGGGCAGACCTTGGTCTTCTCAAGGCACTGACGAGGATTTGGCCGGGAGCAGAGGCCGGAGGTGCTGGTGTAAGAGGCAGGGAGGAGACGGCGAGGACTCCAGCGCGGCCGTCCAGGACGGAGGAAGTGGAGGGTGGTCGTGGCTGGCGTGAGGGTGAGCGAGCCAGGAAGCCAGGGCAGGTCTGGGCTTGCGTCGTGTGGCAGGGGTGGTGGTGGCCAGTGGGTCTCTGACGAAAGGAGAGGGAAGAAGGGGTGTGTGGGGGGCAGAGTGTTTGAGTTGCCTCGAGGACCACCGCGGGACAGAGGATAGGTCACTGGGCTGGGCAGCTGAGTGAAAATAAAGGGTACTTGGGCGTTCCTGCTTTGCGCTGTGCGGGCGCTTGTCTCTCGAGGGGTGGGCAGAGGTAGCAGGAAGCTCAGGAGTGGAGAAGGAGATCTGCCCGGGCTGGAGGCAGCCCTCGGCTGAGGAGGGGGCAGGCTTGGGTCTCAGGGGACCATCCCCCAGAGCAGGGCGTGGTTGGCTCTGCTGCGGGATTACCAGGAGGCTGTGGTGGTTGGCCCAGGGGGAAGAGGGGCCGTGAGGGGTGGGGAGGCGGGGGCTTTCTAGGATAGCCAGGGACCCAGCTGGGCAGGAGGAGAGGTCTGCTGCTATCTTAGACCCCAGTTGCTGGCACCAGGTGGCATCAGGGCCGAGGGAGAGCACTCACCCGTGCTCTTGCCTCCTTTCTTTCACCCTCTGAGATTCTGGCCTTAGCTTCGTTCTTGCCATCTCAGACTCTCCACAAGGGTCTTGAGCTCTCTGGACCAGGGTCTGTCTGTTTTTTGTTTTTTTTTTTTTTTTTAAGATTTTATTTATTTATTTGACAGAGACCGCGAGAGA